ATATAACTTTTTTCTTACAAGATTTCTCGCTCTTTGGTCTATCGAATATTAAAAGTAAATTCGCGTTTGCCTTTAAATTGGCTTTAGTAGATTGAATTAATCTGTCGAGACATAAATCGCCAAAGTGTATGTTTAGATAGTTTTTGCAGGATTTGATCGGTAGATCCAAAGTGAAGTTATTTTCTATTTATATGGTCAGAAAGAGAATAGTCTTGGCTACAAAGTGGTTGTCAGAAATTATTTTTATTTAGGATTGATCGGAAAAATGCCAAGAATCTAAATTTGATGAACTTCAGTATGGATCGGAAGCGGCAAAAAACTAAAAAAATATTTTCAAGTTAAGTATGAAAACAGTTTTTCTGTATGGGCACTATATCTAAATAGTACATTAGACAGAAAGCAGCACACAAAGAATTTATATTCACACTGTCTCAAGCAAAAGTGAATGAAATAAAATGAATTTTTCTGTTGCTGTATGTCCTTGTGTTTGAAATTCTCTAGTCTGCATATCTTCTGTCATAAGTACAACTATTTGTTTCAATGAGTGAAACATAAATCGATTAGATTCTAAGTGTAAACAGAAGATGATGCACCGGAGAAGTAGACGTCACTATGAAAGCGGCTAGCCATGAGTGGCGCCCGGAGAGGTGCCGACGAAGGAGTAGTTGCTGGTCTGTACCATTAATCGGAGGTGAGCTTCGCAGAGTGTCGTAGTTCATAGAAAAATTGCCTATCTTTGTGGTTCAATCAATTGGTATCATATGCAAAAGCGACAAAAACTAGCAAGTTTTTCTCTAAATCAGTTTCGAGAAAAAATTTTTCTGCAGAAGTGAAACATCTTGAACATGCATTTGACGAAATGCATGTGTTAGCGCATTTGTATTAACATATCTTCTATACGGATTAAAAAAATGTGGATGTTTCGTGATCTAAATTGAAAAGATAATCGCTTTGAAAACCAGTCTAAAAATAACTGAGACGCTCATATAACATTAAAGGCTTGTTTCGCAAACGGCAACGATAGAAATCGAACGTCAAATAATATTACTGAACAAATTGTATATAAATGTTGTGAATTAGAGTGCGAAGAGATTTATATGCATTTGTGGAATATCATTAAACGTTGGTTATAAAAGAGAAGAAGCAATTAAATACTACGGTAACACTTAGTTAACTTGGACATTTGTTACTTTACTCAAAGGCATTCTTTAAATAGATCTAGTTTCAAATTTCTCATTGAGAAGTTTTTTTTATAGTAATAGAATAGTCTTTCGTAAAGTGTCCCATGAGAGTTGATTGAATTGCAATCTGAATTGGACGATTAATTGGTATAGGAGATGTAAACATGGTAGCGACTAGCCGTGAGTGGCACTTCAGAGGGCTGCCGACGATCGACTAGTCGCTGGCCTGTATAATTTATTTAAGGCACGCATTTTTTTTACAATATCCAATCCTTGTTCATTTAACTATTTCTACTTTCCTGCTTTTGTAATTAGTAGTGAAAGCATTAAGAGTGTGATATGCAGAAATTTCGATATGATGCGGAACATTTAGAAATATCTTGAAATTGAAGTTATAGCCGATAGTTAACGACGGAAACTTCTCGTTAGCATTCTTATCAAGAATTATTTTGCTATAAATCAAATAGTTTTCTGCGAGATATGTGTCAACGTCTCTTATTTACAGGTAAATCATTTGTTTGTAGATGTATCGAAACCAATCTATGAGCAGGAAGCTAACGACTAGCAGGTAGTGATCTATTGCTCGTGAGATATTTCACAGATATGAGTGTAAAATTAATCAATCGAGGGGCAGCCGTCCTACATTTTCCTGATCTTTTGAGCATGCATGATGAACAATGAATGTTACAGTTTCAACAATAAATATTATTTTGAAAAAATAAAGAATTAGTTAGAATCAAATGTTATTGTAGCATCAGTAGCATCGCATACATCGGCGAATTATTTGACAATAATTCCCAAGATGAATAGAAAGAGTTCAGTCGAGGGTCAAGCGAGTCGTAACGACGAGCGTTATCTTGTATAATTCAAGAAAATTTGTTGAATAACCAACTTGAGCTTTTAATTTAATGTTTGAATCAAATTTATTCCATCGATCAATTTCTTTCAATAAATGTCGACTAGGCCAATTATTCGTAATAAATATATCATCAATATATCACAAATACAATCCACCACCATTGTTAATTTGTTTAATGATATCTCGTTCAAAAAAGAACATATAACAGTTAGCAATTGTTAATGTTAATGGAGAACCCATAGCACCACCACATACTTGATGATAATATTTACCATTATAAGAAAAATAATTATTTTGTACCACGAATCGACATAAACGAATAATAGTTTCAATTTTTAAACCATTAATTTGTTTTATATTTAAGTAATCTAACATTTTTTTAATTGATCAAATCCTTTCTGTTTGTGGGATCATCGTACAAAGATCCAGCACATCCATTGTACATAATAAAGTTTCTTGATGTAATATATTATATTTAGACCATTTATATAACTGTTTAATTAGGTCAAAACTATAAGTAACAGTTGTATTTAATGCGATTTGATGAAATAATGGTCGAAGTAATTCATCAAGAAATTTTGATATTTTAATAGTTGGATGTTTAATACCAGAAATAATTGGACAAAGTGGAGTGCCAGATTTATGAGCTTTTGGTAAATCATAAAGATGGGTTAATTCCACTTCATATAGTTTAATACTTAATTGTTCATATTGTCTTTGTATAATCCAATTAGTTAATCTTAAATTTAATAAATATTTATTTGTACGTTCAATTAAATTTGGTAATGGATCATTTTGATGTAGACATTCATATGCTTCAATTTTTTCCATATATTGATCGGATTTTTTGTGATAGTCTTGTAATTTACCTAAATGAAAAACTATACTAGTTGAACGAAGCTTCTGTTTTAACCGTTTGACCAATCTACCATAATTTTTCTTTTTTTCAGTAATAATTGTAGTAATTTGATATTGGTTCAATTGAATTGTTTCTAATAAATTTTCATATGAAATAATTTCACGTTATTGTTTATATTTCCGATTTCTTTTACTAATAGGTGTATCATGTAGATTTTTTAATATAATATCCAATTCGGCTATAAATTGTTCGACTGGTCGACCATGGCTTAGGGGTGGGAAGTTACCGTTACCCGGGAGTTACGTTACCGGGTAACTAGTAACTTTTGAGGTACTAGTTACCGAGTAACTAGTAACGCCGGAGTTACCAGTTACCAGGTAACTAGTAACTTCGAAGTTACTAGTTACTTTTGGTAGGTAACTCGTCTAAAAAGTCGAGATATCGCTTCCTAATGACTGAATATCATCTATTCATCACTCAATTAAATTACGAGTTACTTGATAACTAGTAACTCCTATGTGCGTTACTAGTTACTCGGTAACTCGTGAGCTGAATAAGTACTGTAATGATGGTATTCACTCATTAGGAAGCGATATCTCCACTTTTTAGACAAGTTACCTACCAAAAGTAACTAGTAACTTGTGAGTTACTAGTTACTTGGTAACGTAACGGTAACTTCCCACCCCTACCATGGCTTACTTTTTTTTCGAAGAATCGAACTTCAATTTTACGTTTTAAAATAGCCAACTCAGTTGTACGTCGTCGAGAAGCCGCTTTTGGATCATTATAAATAAAGCGAGGACCTAATTTTAATAATTGATATTCTTCCTCGGTTAATTTTGCCTGTGCTTCATTAATTATAGTTAGAGCGAGAAATCATCCCCCAACGGTCGTGTGAGAGTCTGGGCAACAATTTCTTCTTGTTCATTGAGTTCGCCCTCGACTCACTGTTCTTCTAAAAAATAAATCGGTAGTTCAGTTTCTAAATTTAAACGTTTTTCACATAAATCATTATAATGCTTAAATGCTATATAACCCGTATCAGGTTCAATATTAAATCTTTCATCATTTTCTTGTGAAAAGGCTTTCATTATATGTTCAATTTCATTTTTTAATAGTTCACTTTCACAAGTAATTGATCGTAAATATAAAGACATTGCTTGAATACGGTATTGTTTAGTTAAATGACGGATTTGATCATGTAAAATTTGAGCTTCTTGTTTACTTATTATTGATTCATCAATTTTAAATGTAAAATTAGCATTTGAAATAAATTTTGGAGGTAAATCATGTTCTACACGTTTCGTTGCTGCAAAAAATGTTGAATATATTTTAAAATAGTTTTTTTCTAATCGATCGATTGCATCACGAATTGGAGTAGTATTCGCTACTGATGATGGTGAAGTTGTTGCAGTTGTAGAATTTATTGTACCGGCTGTAGTTTGAGCCCCATAAGTACTTAATTGAACTTGTTGATTCTTGATTCTAGCACTTGCTTGAGCTATATTAGTTGTTAATCAATTGATCTTTTTCTTGATAAATCGAGTATTTCTTACATCATCACGTCTTTTTCTACGTGTAATGACTTCTATTGCCCAATGTTTATCTTGTGTGCCCATTTTTAAATAAGTTTGTCAAGCTTGAAGTTCATAATTATTTCGAACCCATTCATCGTATATTGGAATTGTGGCTAATACATAAGCTTGATTACCATGACCACTAACAATAACTGATGAATTATCTTGCATATAACGCATTATTCGATTGAGTTCTAAATAAATTCGTCGTTTAATTTTTTTATTATTATTTTTATCATTTTGTTTATTTCATTTGTTCTTTTTTTATTGTAATCAGCAATATCATATTCTACTATTGATAGAACATCATCATTTGTTTCATCATCATAATTTGATTCGATATCTGTTGATGTATCGATTTGTTCTAAAACAGCAAATCGATTATAATTTTTATCATTGTGATCAGTTGTATTATGATATTGTTGTTGACGAATTCGACGTTGTCGACGTCTATAAGATGCTGTCGTAGTAGTAGTTCGACGTTTTTATTGATTATTATGCTGTTTTGACTGTTGTTCATTGACATTCTCATTTAAATCATTATAAACATTGATTGTTTGAGCTGTATCATTTGTTGTTATTGCTTGTGTTAAAAAATTTGGTCGTTGTGGTAGAGCATTCACTGATATATTGGATGATTCTGTATTAATTGTTGATGTTGTATCATGCAGTTGTGGTGGCATGGGATCATTTAATTATAATTGCCTTGGTCCACTTGTACGTTGTTGTTGTCGTTGCCTTGATGTAGAACGACTTGCTTTTCGATTTCTAATAAATTTTCCTTGTTCTGATGATCTAATGATAGTTCTACGTCTATTCTTTTCATATAAATATTGATTGTGAGGATAACCATTCGACGATAAAAATTATTGTTATTATTTCCATTATTATTATAACTATTATATTGATAATTATATCTATTGCCCTATAAACAGCACCACCACCATCATGATAGCGTTGATTATTCACTTGTGATGATGGCATTGATTATATTGTATCATTATTGTTGTTATAGTTTATTCTCGACATTAATCGTTCGAATACTTTGAGATAAAGTGGATCAAATTAGAATAAAAATAATTCAATTAATTTGATGCCTGAAATAATATTACAATTAAATCAATCGAAAAACAAACTGACCTATCTATCTTGAAGAGAAGACAAATACAATCTGCTTGTGCCCCCACGTTTGCTTTTCACCAATCGATTATTTTGTCGAGATTTAGATGTATTTTAAAATAGTAATTTATTGTGACTTGCGCAAAAAAAAAATAATTTTAAGAAATGCAGATTTTAATTTGCCAACGCGTTTCGTGTTCTTTATTGAAATATTAAAACACTCATCAGCGCTCTGCGTTACATGTTTAAGCAAAAGATAAAAAACAAAAAAAAATATATATGTATATTCATATGTATACATGTGCTGATGTAAAAACAAACAAAATATACAGAACCAAAAACAAAGGAAGAGAAAAAAAAGATAAGAAGAATAGAGGAAAAGAAAAACATGTGTGACTCTTTGAATAGCTGTAATAATAGTTAATTAAACAGCTGTAATCATTTATGTAATATCCAAAAGGTTTTTGTTTTCCATCATTTTGATCGTAAGAAGATGCCCGATTATGCTCATCTTAAATGTCACATTTTAAGAGAGAGTCCGCTAGAAAGCCGATCAATATAAGGGAGAGGCGGCGGCGGAAAATTTTTAGATTTTGACTTTAATCATCTCATTCGAAAGCCCATAAAAAATTACTTAGGAAATCAAAATATCAACTCATTTTGATTTATCTATAAGAAAATAGCAGGTACTCCATTTTTTCGACTTCTCAGATCATATCCTAAAAATCGATTTTTTCAATCCTGGTCATATTTTGCGATTTGCTCCTCCATCGTTTGACAGTTTGGGGCGCGAAACATCTCAAATGATAGAGAATGGAATTCTCTACAAAATAGTCTATTTCTATTATTTTCTGAATGAAATTTTTCATGAGAAAGGAATCAAGTTTGAAAAAAACAAGTGTACAATTCCAGCCATCAGATTTCAGTGTCATGGACGAATGTTCTATCAAAGTAAGAGATCACAGGCTGAATTTTTGATATGTTGTAGCTTTGCTCACGGCGCATCTTTTGGTATATTCCTCATTGAAAAATTTCATAAGGAGGTAATAAAAGTTTTTGTCACAAAAGTTCAAACATAGCATTATTTTATTCTTGGGTGTGGGTGTGGATGTCGGTCTTGCTCTTCTATACACCCACACCCTCAAAGTCTAGTCGATTTTCGTCAACATTGTTCACAACTCATCGTCGTTTTTATTATTCATCAGATCAGTTACCTAATCCTCATAATTTGGTATTGTACTGACTGAATTCTTCGAAATATAGCAGTCATTGAGTTAATTCGATGGATAATAATTTGGTTCATCAATCTCAAGTGGCTTAAAGCGGATAAAAAGTACGAAAAGATTAGCAATCACTATTGAATACGAATCTTTTTCATTGGTCAGAATCGCACTATGACTCACCAATTTATATCTCATATCGAATTTCAGAAAGTATTGTTCAATTTACAATACATAAACTTACTAATGTTCATCTATACTCAATCGATACTGAATCTGATAAACTCGTCAAAAAGTATTTACATTCATACCAGCATTTATTCAGATGCAGGCTATTCATCATAATAACTTAGCTACTGTTCTCCTACTAGACATATAATATCTTGCGGTTCGATCAACATCTTTATTTCGCATAATCCAACAACTATGCCAGATCATTTTTTTTATTCGACCAAAAATAATATAATGGTATGGGGAAATGTGATTTCTGAACTACGTCATTTTCAGCATTAGAATCTTTTTGTTATATACCACATTTCTAGTATCTTCAATATTGAACAATTTTTACATTTGAATGACATAAACTACATCCACATACAACTGAATGTTTAGTTCATCATCAACCAATACATGATGATTCTGAACCGAATGATTGTCTTATTCGTTTTGTCATCATCGATGATTATTATTGTTGCAACTGTTCGGATGCCACCCATCTTTATAAAGATGAAGATATTGTATGGTCTTTGCAAAAGACAATGCAATATACTTATAATTAAGCTCTCGATAAATTCATGACCATTAATATATGGTCATGTGAACTTGATTTACTTCCAAATATCTAGAATACAAATCGAGATAAACATGTTCGCGAAGCTTTGATCTTGTACGTAATTAATGATCTCTTCGCATCAAGAAATCTATTTTTCTTTTAAACAAGTCAAATCTTTCTAGACAGACCTCTTTACTATCACTAGTTTAAATAAAATGATATCTAAACAAACAAATGATTTATCTTCGTTCCTGATATTGGCTGATAGTCATGGAAAACATATTTATTTAATGCTTACTACATCTTGTTATAATATCATTACTCAATCGATATCGGATTTATAGGTACAAATATCTTCGCCCCCACTCAGACTTTTACTAGTAGTGAACTTTCATTTTGAGATTATTTGCCAGTAGCTTATAAAGTCGCAAGAGATATTTTTGTATGTTGCATCAAAGAGAGAGAGAGGAATTATTCATGTGATAGAAACGCTAGATCATGCGATACAATGACTTTTTGTATTCTACATTCTTAAAATAAGACGATTCTACTTCAATTTGGTACAGTTCACAATAAATAGTAATAATGTCAACAACACTAAGTGAAAATGTACAGTTGAAGGTTCAATATGTTGACAATGTCTGTTTATTTCTTTCCAGGGTATGAAATGTACAATATTGCTTGAAATGCTACTAAAACACGATTTTCTTTGCGATGGTCCAAAATACGGAAGTTCTATACAATCAATTGGAACGCGTCTTCATCACAAAACTAATTCATTTTTCCAATCAGTATTACTAAAAATTGTATCTTTGGAGTGGTCCACATATATTACGTCATCATTAGGGAGTGGGTGTGGGTAGAACACTATGATAACGACATTAATAGTCATATTGCATCATTTCTCTCTTAGATAAAAACAAGACACAAGTGGTGTAATTTTGTATTATAAAGTTAACAATCAAAGCGAAGGACGATCGGATTGAAGGTGATACAGAATGAAACAAAGAAATTTATATTTTTTTGTTAGCTAACGCATTGTGAAAGAAAATAAAACAAACAGTTCAATTTATTTCCTTAAATTTCGTTGTTTTTTTTTGTTACTTAATAATAGGTAACAGTCAACAATTTTTAGTTATGCATTTTAATCAATAATTGTACAGTTCACTTTTGAGTGCATATTATTGAGACGCAGACTTGAGTGGAACTTATCTAGTGCAAAATTTTTTTTGTAAATAATCAAAAGAAAGTGTACTGAAAAAACAAATTATTTCATTCTATTGTCTTCTCGTTTCAATTGTTTTTGAACAGTTGAGGAAATGTTATTGTTAAAGAACACCAACAAATTCTTGAGTGTCTATGTGAAAAAATAAGAAGATGAATATGAGAGACATGAGAATATGATGAAAATCACCGAGTTATTTCTTAAGGCATCAGCGAGATATTGTGCCCCAGTATCACCGATTAGATTGCCACCAAAAACATTACCGAGGATCAATGTGGTGAGTGTCTATATGTAGAAAAGAAGATAAATATGAGAGATTATGCAAATAGGATGAGTATCACAATGTTGTTTCGTAAGGCATCAGCGAGATATTGTGCCCCAGCATCTCCAATTCGGTTATTCGAAAGGCTCAGTCTGGTGAGTGTCTATGCGTGGAAAAGATGAACATAAGAGAGATGAAAATACGATGAAAGTCACCTTGTTATTTCTTAGCGCATTCGCAAGATGTTGTGCACCCACCGCTCCGATATGATTGAAATGAAGATCTAGGGTAGTATGTGTCTATGTATAGAGAAGAAAGTAAATATGAAAGAGATAAAAATAGGATGAGAATTACAGTGTTATTTCTTAAGGCATCAGCAAGATGTTGTGTCCCATCATCTCCAATCGGATTATGTGAAAGGCTCAGTCTCGTAAGTGTCTATATGCAGAAGAGAAGATGAATATGAGAGAAACGAAAATCGAATGAGAATTACTTTATTATTTCGTAAGACATCAGCGAGATGTTGTGCCCCAGTCGCTCCGATTTGATTGCTACCAAGATCCAGTGTAACGAGTGTCTATGTTTCGAGAAGAAACGCGAATATGAGAGAGATGAAAATAGTATGAGAATAACCGTGCTATTTCGTAGGGCATCAGCAAGATGTTGTGCCCCAGCATCTCCGATTGAATTACTCGAAAGGCTTAGTATCGTGAGTGTCTATGTGTAGAACAGAAGATGAATATGAAATAGATAAAAAGATGATGAGAATTACAGTGTTATTTCTTAACGCATCAGTAAGATGTTGCGCCCCGACAATTCCGATTTGATTGTATCCAATGTTCAATGTGGTGAGAGTCTATGTGTAAAACAGAAAATGAATACGAGAGAGATGACAAGATGATGAGAATTACAGTGTTATTTCTTAAGGCATCAGCAAGATGTTGTGCCCCAACATCTCCAATTGAATTGTTCGAAAGGCTCAGTGTTGTGAGTATCTATGTTTAGAGAAGAAAGGTGAATATCGGAGAGAGGAAAATAGGATAAGAATTACCGTGTTATTTCTTAAAGCATCAGCAAGATGTTGCACCCCAGCATCTCCAATTTGATTCCATTGAATGTTCAATGTGGTGAGTGCCTATGTGTAGAGAAGAAGATGAATATGAGAAAAATCAACATAGGATGAGAATTACCGTATTATTTCTTAAGACGTCAGCAAGATATTCCGCCCCATCAATTCCGATTTTATTCCATTCAACATTCAAAGTGGTGAGTGTCTATGTTTAGAGAAGATGAATATGAAGATATGAACGTAGGATAAGTATTACAGAGTTATTTCTTAAGGCATCAGCAAGATATTGTGCCCCAGCATCTTCGATTGAATTGTTCGAAAGCGTGAGTGTTGTGAGTGTCTATGTTTAGAGAAGAAAGGTGAATATAAGAGAGATGAAAATAGCATAAGAATTACCGTGTTATTTCTTAAAGCATCAGCAAGATGTTGTGCTCCAGTATCTGTGATTAAATTATTTGAAAGATTCAGTATCGTCAGTGTCTATGGGTAGAGAAGAAGATGAATATGAGAGAGACGAAAATTAAATGAAAATCACTTTATTATTTCGTAAGACATCAGCGAGATGTTCTGTTCCAGCATCTCTGATTTGATTCGATTGAACATTCAATGTGGTGAGTGTCTATGTGTAGAGAAGATGAATATTAAGAGACAAAAGTAGGATAAGTATCACAGAGTTATTTCGTAAGACATCAGCAAGATGTTGTACTCCAGCAACTCCGATTGAATCAGTCGAAAGGCTCAGTCTTGTAAGTGTCTATGTGTCAATAAAAAAGATGAATATGAGAGAGGTGAAAATAGGATGAGAATTACAGTGTTATTTCTTAAGGCGTCAGCAAGATGTTGTGTGCCGTGATCTCCGATCGAATTATAGGAAAGGCTCAGTGTCATGAGTGTCTATATATAGAAAAAGAGATAAATATGAGAGAGATGAAAATAGAATGAGAATTACTTTATTATTTCGTAAGGCATCAGCAAGATGTTGTGCCCCAGTCGCTCCGATTTGATTGTAATGAAGGTCCAGTGTAGTGAGTTTCTATGTTTAGAGAAGAAAGGTGAATATCAGGGATATAAAAATAGGATAAGAATTACCGTGTTATTTCTTAAAGCAGCAGCAAGATGTTGTGCCCCAGCATCTCCGATTGAATTATTCGAAAGACTCAGTGTTGTGAGTGTCTATGTGTACAAAGGAAGATGAATATGAGAGAGATGAAAATAGAATGACAATCACCGCATTATTTCGTAAAACATCAGCGAGATGTTGTGTCCCAGCAGCTCCGATTTGATTGTGATGAAGGTCCAGCGTGGTAAGCATCTATGTATAGAGAAGAAAGGTGAATTTGAGGGAGATGAAAATAGAATAAGATTCATGTTACTATTTCGTAAGGGATCAGGAATATATTGTGCATGAAAATCTCGAAAGTTACTTTGTAAGAGTTTTTTTGTGGAATCTCTAGAGGTTCTTCAATAGTTTCATGCTTTTTATTTGTGTCTTAACTTAAAATTAAGTTAAGAACAATTAGTTAACCCTTAATATAGTATCAGCCATTTAGGAAGGAACAGCGATTGGAAAAATTTCAGTTTGGTTTTCACCAAGAGTGCTTCTCGACCCCTAACACAGACGAAACAGGGTGTTATCTAACCAATTCACAAGAAGAAATCCGTGTTAACCGTTTTATTGACTTGATTCTTTGTTTATAGTTTCTGAAGTTTGGAATTTACGTAAGGTAAGATTTTCTATAGGAAAAGCAGGCTAAGTATATTTTGTAGAAACTATATATAATTTATTTGAATACAACGCTTTAAAAACTGGAGATTCGTGATCTTGGAGGTGTCACTCACATATAAGGTCGACCACAATTTACCTAGTATTCAGAATTTATGAGAGTACCACAAACATTCAAGTTTGTAAAACTGCATATAAGTCACTCTTACAAACTCCCACATCTGGGAGATGTATGTGCACAAGCATCCACGAACACCCACTTTCTACCAGTATTAGTGAAAGAAAACACTCAAGACACACTAGGAAATGACGCCCCTTCAACACTAACACGCAGAATTTTTTTATATTTCACATAAACATCCCAACTTGTCCTTAAGAGAGCGTGAATGAATATATAGTGAATGGTATCGACCGATGAAGTGAACACTTTAAGGCATTAATGAATTTTTCTATGCATTTTTAAAGAATTTTTTAAAATGGTGTTTTTCAGTGAGTAGATTGCATGTTTCTATGGATGTGAGTGATTTCTCTTACGTGTTTCCAATGAAAAGTTTCTCAGAAAAAGCTATTCGAGGATAATACATATTCGTGTCACAATGTAAGGTATGAAGTTCTGTGGATGTTCATAAGGACAAGTTGGGATGTTTCTGTGGAATATAAGAGAGATTCTGTGTGTTAGTGTTGAGGAGGTCGTTTTTTTTAGTGTTTGTTGACGGTTTTTTCCCTAATACTCATAGAAAGTGAGTGTTCGTGGATGTTTGTAGTTTTCTCAAAAATTACGAATACTCCAATTTATCGGACGAAAAATTCTCATTTTCATGGAACTCAAGTGACCGAGTCGTTGGATAAACTATTAAAAACGCGTAAATCTAGAAAAAAATTACTTGTTTTAAGGCAGTTTTTGGGTCTTGCCTGTCTATGGAGTCACTTTCGACGTTTTACCACTGTATGTGGCGAATTCAAGAGATAATTCATTCTTCCGTTCTATAAGCTTCATATATAAGGTTACGCCAGGAAAAAAAATCGAACTATTTTTCTCTTCCACTCGCCCCGTACTAGTGACAGAACAACAAAAATGGTTCGCAGTAAATGAGTGAGTAACTGCTATTTTTTTCCGCTGTAATATGTTTTGAAGATGATAGAAATTATAAAGAAGTTTACCTGATATGGATAATACGTATCCACGATTGTGTTGATACGTGTACAAACGTTTCGTAATGACCAGAAAATATCGAGTACATCGAGCTTGTCAAGAATCCGATAGGCCAGTTCTACCGGTAATGTATGAAGAGACGTAGTAATTTTATTCGACATCGATGAAAGATGTTGACTTGTGCGTTACTCTGAAAAGTATATACGTTATTTCGTACGTATAGTTAGGATTCGTTTTCGTTTGACTGCATTTATATTTGTCGTGTATCATAAATTTCTTTCGATTTTGTAATTACTTGTTTGCTCACAGATTGTAAAATAGGTAGGCAACGACAACATACAGTGGTCTATTTGAATTATCTCTGAATTCAAAACTAAAAAATGCACCTCATTTCAGTATGAAAACGGGGTCTGATGGATGTAAGCACGAGTAGCCCTTTTTTTTATAATACCAGATCTTAGTGGCTATGACTATAAAGGTATTTAACACACCGTTTTTCGCCTAGGGTGGGGCTTGGTGGAAATAAAGAACAATAAACCTCAGCCGACCCTATTTGTAGGAAACTGCAAAACAGTTCCTGTCTCCGTCCCGGCGGGACCAAATTCGGAACTAATAATAATTTCGACCGGGATTGAATACAGTTTTAGTAGGTTACGCAAAATTCTATTTTAATAAAAATTAGAATCGCTGTTTATGAATTTATTCTTTCATTCTCAAGTGACAATTGAGCTACGTTTATATCAATATATTATAATATAATGAGAATATCAACAAATAAACACTGAAAGTTTCAAAACAATAAGAGAAAGCATGTACGTGAAAGTCGTAACAACTGTTCATTTTTTGCAACATACATGATCTTTATGATATTTCATCATCATTATCATTAATTATATCTTCAAAATCGTCATTGTATGGTGATAACTGTTCATGTCATCGTTTTTTACCTTTACTTGCTGTTGTACCAGAATTAATAATAAGTAAAGGCGTTGTTCCACTATCATCAAATATTTTTTTTAAAAACATTAATTTATCCACTTTTTGTGCCGACAAACGTGTGCGTGCTTCTGTTACTGAATTTTCACTAGCAGAGAATAAACGTTCAACAGCTGTGTTTGTAGCAGATACGATAAGAACATCACGGGCGATCAAATAAAGGAATGGATATAAATCATTTTGTCGTTCCCAAAATGCAAATAGATCTTCATCATCATTTAACAATGAATCATTTAATTTTAAATGTCATTCAAATTCTTCATTAACATCGATTTTGGGTTTAGATTCATCAACTTGATCATACCATGACGATAATATATTATTTGCATTTGTTCATGAATAATTTATTGTTGCGGATGACAATAGAACTGTTGAATTAACTGGTGCAACTACTTGTTGAACTAAAATATAAGAAGAAAAAACAGATTGTACAGAGCAATCATTCAAGCAATGTCTGTCTCTACAATTGACTTGTGGCTTACCACATCGTTTTTGTACCCCTATTTTTATTAAATCATAGGCCTTTTTTGTCTTTTATCGTTTGAACATATATGTAAATGTTTAAATTTCGGGTGCAATATAACCGCAATATAATGAATGCCATCAATGCCCCAATATGCTAAAAGTTGTTTTTCAATATATTTTTTAATATTTTTAATTGATTGTGATTCAGCTTTATCTTGTTGTGATAATACTTAAAATACTTAAAATATTTAGCAGATGCCATTAAATCATTAAAATCGATTCGAGCTAATGCTTCTCTTGTGCTTTTTCTGTTATAATGCCATTTGATTCTGGATAAACGGCTATAAAACTTGATATCGTGTTATAGGAACTATTTCACCTGGTTTTCGATAAAACTTGTAACCTTTTTAATAAATTTAACTGATCATGGGGCCGTCATATATGTATGATAAGGTTATGAACATCATCGAACATTCGTTGAATATCGTCACAATCAATACCATATTTACATAAGACATGTTCAACAATCTTATTTAAGAAATATGCGGCGCATCCAACACGAATAGAACTTTCTCTAAATGAAGCACGCATTTTATTTTCGTTGTCACTTACTACATATTTTAATTTACCTCGCTTTAAATCATATGATTCTAATACACAGTTTGTAAATACACGAATATTATTTGCCGTTTGATCTGGTAAATCATACGGTCTGCACGTCAATAGGAACACAAGTAAACCATGAGATGATGAATAAGTGTATAATGCAACATCACCAAAGCTAACTTTCGTATATTGTTCCGTCCAAAAATCTACAGTAATTGCATAATGATCAATTGTTGATCAAAATGACTTTAATTATTCTTTACGTATTGTATAAATTTTGTCAGTTTCTAATTCATTGACAGAAACATTTGAGTCAAATTGTTGGCCAGCTTTCGTCAAGTCTTGAACTAACACACGAAATCCATCACCCTACACTAAATTAAACGATAAATCGTTCAATGCACAACATACAGTCATCGTATTTGTAATTTTTCTTTTGTTTAAACAAATAAGATGTTGATCATTTTCATTATTTGTTGAACGAAATGATACAATTGTCTGTTGTGTAATTGACGACGGTGATGCTTTTTTGCATCCTTTATCATGTTTCTCCATTACATTTGTTCCATTAACTGACTTTCATAGCAAAATAGATCGACAACTTACACATGTTATAAAATGTTGTCACATATTATCAACGAAAATTTGTACGAATTAGATGATGATATCAATTTTTATTAATATTCAATGTAAAACTTTCTTATTGATAAAAACAATCAACAATGTATATGAATTCATTTATCATATGCTTTTCATAGAATCATACAGACGGATAATAGACGGTCTAACAGGTGTCGAATCTGATGTACAGACATTAGATGTCGCACACTTCCGAACAATAAAATAATAAACTACTTTAAAAATTGGATCATGTTCGTACAGGACTGGAACTGGGATCGGGACTAAAAAGGGTGGTCCCACAGTTCCCTACCTATTTGACAAAAAAGTACTTATATAGGCATATATATATATGGGAGTGAACTTAAATGGAATGAAATAAATCGATTGTTGGAATACACACCTCGTCTCAAATGTTTTCAGATATTTATTATTATGCGCCACGATGATAATTGTATAATCTCTCCTTTACCAATACTAATTAATTCGAGGATTAGTCATTTTTATATGCCCAATGCTTCGGAAATGATTTCCTTTTCGTAAGATATATCGAATCTATAACGTTTAGATATTCGTTTTATGAATAATACAATCGATAATCATCAATGGAAACAAATTATTCGTAATTATTTACAAAAACTCCAAGTACTTCGTTTAACTATGAGAGATAAATGTACTGCATATGAAAATATGCAAAAACAAATCCTTCGTGATGATCATCGGGAGTTTTATGATAACAAGACTTGCATCTTAGACGAAACAATTTGGGGTCAATCGGTTTCATCCAATATTCATTTGTTCGAAATTCATCATCTTTAGATAAACTTTCTTTTCAATACTCAATTTTGGTCTATTGTTCGAAGTTTAGCCCAACTACACTCATTTACAGTGTTATCTCTTGCTGATACTTTTCATTCTCAATTGCAAGTATTATTTGATCAAGCACCTCATCTGCCCGTACTAACCATCGAACAAAATGCATCATTACCTTTACAAACGTCATTATTTAAATATACAAATGCATCAATTCGTAGACTCTGTTTCAAAAACTTTAAAGATCGATTCAATGAGGAAGAATGTATGATATTGGCTCAATCACGATTAGTTGTTCGGTGGGGAGTACTTTCCATTGAAGTGAAAAATCATCAAAGTATTAATATTTTCGTTAAAAATATTTTCGAGCATTAGATGTGAAGAAGAAAACGATTCTGAAGACATATCATTATTCATGAATGATGATGAATTTTGCGACGAAACTACATCATATAAAGATGAATTTATTCAATGGTTAACTGATCGTTTACCATCAACAGGTGTAATTGTCAAAGATTCAGACTCACTTAGTCATATTTGAATATGAATCTAATAGTGCCAAAAATAATTATACCTATGAATTACATTATTAATAAACTATAATCATTTTCTTGATATGCATGTACTTATAAAAACAAAATGACATTTGTTTAAGAGGTTGACAAGAATTACTTTATAATGATAGAACAAGATTGACTGAAACCATAAAAATTTCCAGAAGAGGCTTTTGATAATAATTCTAGAATCAATATTTTCATAGGACAGACACAAAAATAAGCGACAGTGCTTTGTTAATACGTGTCACTTAACGGATTTTTCTCGTTCAATATTCGATTTCGACTGCAAGTTGATCATATTTTGACAGATATCCAAGTTATGAATAGAATTTTCACGCGGTGAATTGCCAATGGGTAGCTTCGATTAGCACTTTCTGACTACGAAGCTGTTTTCCGAATCTGTGACAGCCATCGAACGCATGCAAAAAAAAGAAGAACTGAATATGATTAATTTGCAATTTTTGGAGAAAAATGAAAGATGGTAATTAGATCATTGAGAGTAACATTAGCAACATAAATATTTACCGCTAGAAATCGTTTGCCAATCATTCGAACCAAAGATTAATGGTCTTTAGTTCAGTAAAAAGTTTTTTTTTTCATTGAGATTTAATCATACTTCGATACTTTTCTGCACTTCTGTAGTAACATGTTGTTTGTCAATATGTCAATAACATAAAAAACATGTTTCTAACAGAAATAAAATCATTTTCATGAGATTGTTTTTCGTTGAAAATGCGCGTGTAAGACAGCACTGTTATATGACTACACAATGTCCGTCAGATGCCGAATATTCTCTCGTTAAAGGTTCAAATCTATCGTTCGTTTTCTTTTTTGTGGACTAGTCACAACGAGACCTAGGGTGTGGGGGTGGGTGTGTGAGGTGTGGGTGTGGGGTGTGGGTGCGGGCGTGGGTGTTGGTGCGGGTGTGTGTGTTGGTGTTGGTGTGGGTGCGTGAGTGTAGGTATGGGCGTGGCTGCGGGTGTAGGTGTTGGTGTGGATGAAGAATATATTCATACGCACTCCCACACCCACACCCACACCCACACCCACACCCACACCCACACCCACACCCACACCCTTATGATTTATCCCAAGATGGATTCAGGATATGTTCATGTTCCTGCTCAGATCTTTTTGTGAACTGAGAATTCAGAATTCTACCAGGATTTGCTCTCGCTTCTTTTCAGGATTCTGACAAGAATTATGGAAAGGTTTCGGTCAAGTTTTAGTCAGGTTTTACTCAATATCTGCTTAAGATCCTGTCCCGATTTCGATTTCTTTTTGTTATGTTGATCTTTTCTAAATTTTTCTAGGATTCCACACTCACACCGACATCCATACCCACCCACACCCACACCCACACCCACCCCCACACACGCACACCCACCCACACCCACACCCACACCCACCCCACACCCACACCCACACCCCACACACCCACCCACACCCACACCCGCACTTCTCCCGCATCTCCCCACACTTCTCTCGCATCTCCTGCACTTTTTCCATATCTTCCTACACTTCTCCCATATCTCCCCACACTTCTCTCACATCCCCCGCACTTCTTCCGCATCTCCTCACATTTCTCTCACATATCCCTACACTTCTCTTGCATCTCCCTAGATTGCACTTCTCTCGCATCTCCCTACACTTCTCCAGCATGCCCGAGATTCTAGATATGTGACACTGCTGCAATATTGATCATAGTTACTATCAAACTACCTATGAAAAAAAAAATGTCAAGACCCATTGAGTTACTTGGAAATTTTGATTGCGATAGGATTAAATAGAGTAAAATAGTAATCAAACAGAACAGAAACAAGAGAAAAAAACCAGAGACACAAAAATAAATATTTATTTTAAATATTAGAAAGAATTACCACTTCAAAAAAAAATACTCCTTCTATCCAATCACGATTTATGATCAATACGGTAGGTAGAGATTTTTATGTAAAATTAAAGCGGTACCACCGCGTTTTATATTTGAATTACGAAGGAATTGTGTCGAACACTGTTCCGGCAGTATACGATATCCAGTGATTATCCCTTTTTCCTTAAGATAATGTTGGATATAGAATGATAGAAGAGTAAAACTGCCCATCTCTGTTATGGGAAAATTCTGTCACCTAGCGTTTACATCTGCTATCACAAAAAAGAAATTCTAGTGTTACTGAAATGCAAACACACATTGTACGCGATAAACTCGTTGTTAAAATAGTTGTCAGTCCCAATCGCAAGGGAGGAAAGTAGATTTATTTAAATCATTCTCAACTAATATCAAGAGAACACTTCGATCTTTTTCATTCTAAAACCATTTTACCTTCTGAGCACAGTTAAGAAATTGTCAGTACGCTTCTGTTCGCGCACAGAAGGATGTGGTTGTGAATGTGGGTATGCTGGAAGATAAGGGACCTAACCACACCGACAACGGCACCTTCTGATGGTGTCGGTGTGGTTAGGTCCCTTATCTTCCAACATACCCACACCCACACGCTCACACTCGCCATCAAGCTCATTAATTCATATTAACAAGCAATATGGGAAATATCATTGTAGCCTGAATTTCACTGTATACATAATGAAAACTTGGCACGCTAGTATAGTCTTCTTGATCTCGTTTTTTTCAACAAGGCCACATTGATATGTGCTATTCTTATTGCGTATACCGTGGAATTCAGACTACAATTTGGTATAATTTGAAGTTAGATTATCGAAAAATTCATTACAAATAAGCAATAAAAAGGTACTGATGTGTAAACAGTCGTTAAAAGATGTCTTTTGGCTTAATACAAATTGGAGCGATAGACAAAGATAAACACCTTGAAGCTTGCTCTTTTCAATAACAAAACTCCGAGCTTGATAGTCTTAGCCGATCGAAAGTTACTCACAAAATGGCCACGACCATTTAACTCTGCAATGGATTATAGATTAAAAATCAATGTCAGCTATAGCTTGATTTAAATGTAACAGATCGTGAACATAATGCATTCTTGATTGATACAATTTTCATCATTGTTATATATCTAAAAAACAACATCAATACGCTTTTCTGCATATTGCTATGAGAAATGACAGATCAATTTTTTCCGTAGGCACTTACATATGACAATGGCTAAGAGACGACATCTGAACTCATGAATATTTGCACTGATCTGCATGCTGAATATATCAAACTTTTAATCGATTCTAGGAGAGTTGTACGAGGCGAGGCACAATTATTTGATATGCATGCGAAGTGTAGCAGTGAACTGCACTCATACCCTTATAGTATATAGGCCGGTTCGACACCTCACAATAAGCCAAACCAAGCAGTTTGAAAATGATAGGATATTAGGTTTGTGTAATGTTTTCATTTGATAGCAAAGTTTGCTCGTAAATAATTAATATATCGCTAACAAACAGAAATAATAGAATTGATCTAAAGAATAATATTTTAAAGTGATGAATTAGTTGAAATTGAATATTGAAGAGACACAGAAACAATCAATGCATCACTATTTTGAATAGACCATTAACAATGAGTTCAATTTTTATCATTACTTGCTGGTCATTTTTTTCCAGTGCTACTTATACTGACAAAATCTGAAAGATCTTTTTCTAAAGTAGGTTTAGCCAATTAATGAATGGCGTATCTTTTCAAATGAATACTATAAGCAACACTCTGTCTGTCTGAGTGATTCAAAAATGTTCTTCAATAAAAAAAGAAGATTTTTTTTTCAAAGAATTACTATCTTTTTATTTGTTTATTTTTCTACATATCATGACTGTCACATTGTTTAGTGAGCCTTTGTATTGTAAAATTATCTATGATAAGAATACTCTGAATTTCTATCCAGAGATTGTCTGTTTGAAGTTGATTGTTTCTTCATGAAGACTTATAGTAAACTTTGAGCACTTTATTTGACTAACATTACTACACAGGTACTCTGAGTCTACCAAAACAAAACCCAACTTCTGTCCGATCACTGAAATGTAAGAATATGATTGACTATTCATTCAAATTTCAATCGAGAGTGAGGATGGCATGTTCTTTCCTTTCTTATAGTTACTAAGAATGACATTTTATTACAAAAGTAGTTGTAAAGTAATTTGTATTAAAAAAAAATCATACACGATTCCTTCCTTCATAATTAGATCATATTTTTCTTTCTCTCCTTGTTTGCATGTTTTACAGAAGAATGAAAAGAGAGTCGAATGCAAAATATTCGTTGTGTATAATTATATTTCTTTGAATGTGATCATTGATACAAAAAAAAGAATGAAGACGAAAAATAGCTAATTAACAAAAGAGAAAACAATAGATGAGATGGAATAGTCAAAAACAAATATTTCATAATCTTCATTAGAAATTATTCTGTAACTCCTTGTACTAAGTGACGAAACTATTGCCTTTTATTTTTATTGAAGAAAGTCTAATTAAAAACTGATGTTCTTTTTTTGTATAATCAAAGTAAAAATTGATATTGCGAGAAACACGATGAAGAAACAAAGTACATTCGATGTTCGGGATGAAAACAAGAGAACTATTTTAATCATCCACAGAAATATTGTTCAACGCTTTTTTTTTGAAATCACTTACTCGAAGATGTGAAGATTTATAATAGTATCTTTGTATTGTGGATTGAAAACGTTTGTTTTCAACAATTTTACAACTCTTTCATTGAGTATTGTACGTATCAAATAGCAACTATATAGTCTAAAATCGTAACGTTGTTGTTGCACCATTTTTGGATCGAGATATGATTAGTTATAATATATATTCATAACCGTCATAGATTTGTAATGAATAATCCTTGTTGAAATGAGATATATCCAACACATTTTTCAAGTTTGAGTAGTATTTATTTGGAAACTAACACAAAATGATTCATTCATACCTTCCTACCAGCTTTTCTCCTTTTATCCTTGAATGAATCAACCTTCGCCAACGCTTTGTTAATAAAAATATGTGATTAATGTAGCCACAACAAAAAAAAATCGTGAG